GAAGGAGCAGAGCCCAGCATTTGGGCCCAGGCCGTCTGGCTGCAGAGCCCCTGGCCTTCCGGTGGGCCCTGCTCTGTGCCTTTGGGCAGAGGCCTGGATTCCGGGCTTTGTCCTGGGCTAGACAATGAGAGCAAAGGGCACCTTTGGTCCCGAGGGCAGGGTGGGGGCGGGGTGCCTGTGGAGACGTCACTGCAGGTCCAGTGAGCTTGGGCCGTGGCTCCTTAGGCCTGACGGGCCTGCGGGCCCTGGGCACTGTGGAAGTGACACGGTGAGCGCTTTGGCCAGGGCAGGTCAGGACTCCCAGGGCCGCGTCAGGACCGTGCCCGCACTGGGCCTCTCTCTCTCTGCATCTGCCAGACGACGGGCCTGGGGGCCCCTGCCGCTCTGAGCTTCTGCGTCGACGTCCCCACCCCCAGCACTCCAGGCACAGGGCCTCGCACGGTGGGCACCAGAGCAGCCCCAGCTCTGCCACCTTGGCTCCTAGAGGCTGGCAGCCGAGCTCTCCGCGGGTCCTTGGCCCAGGTGGATGCAGCTTGTCCCTACGGTGTCCCTTCTGCCTCACCGCTTGCCCCTCTCCTCTCGCCCTCCCTGCCCCGCACAGGAGGACTTCCGGAACAAAGTGGGAGACTACATCAAGCATTATGCCAGATGATGGCGGGAAGACCACAGGGCCTCCAGCTCACACCACGGGAGCCCGCCACCCACACAGTCCTCGTGAGCCCTCAGCCCCACTGGGTCGTCCGGGTCCCGAGGGGGAGCCCCTTCACGACTGCCGCTGGACGGGGAGCTCCGTGCGATCCAGCAGGAAACGTGTCCGCGTTCTGAAGGGCTGTCTGCGTACCTTCACATGTTTACTTTCCTGAAACTGTACTGTGTAGGCTGTTGAGATCCGTGAGAAGTTGTAATGAACTCAGAATTGAAGCTAGAGCTCGCTTCTTCCCCTTTCCCGAAAGCTCACTCCCTCCCCGCACCACTGCCGCTAAATGAGGAGCCGCCGCAGACTGTGATCGCAGACTGTGATCGGATGCAGACCGTCTTAGCTCCTTCCAGGAATGGTGGCCCTGCCCAGGTGTCGCGAAGCTTCCCAGAACGCAGTCATTCACTGTAGATCTCTTACTGAAAGGCATATTTTATTTAATGTAAGTATATTTTGGAACAGATTTGTAATTTGTACAATTTAATGCTTTAATTATTTTTTTCTATTCTCATTTAGTTTGTATTTTCATTGTATAGAGCAGACAGAAAGATATTGGGTCAAGCAACTATTGAAGAGAAATACAAAAAAATGTGAAAGACACGTTATTCATTCTGTCCAAATGCAACGAGAATCCGACTTTTAAAAATCAGCTCTTGATTTCAGGTCCAGATGGGGCAAGGAAGCGTTAGAACCTTCTGAAGCTAGATCTGGACGATTTGAAACATAGAAGGCAGGGAGACTGGTTCTCACGTGCCGCCCGGGGGGCCGGGCTGGAGCCAGCCAGGCGGGGCAGGTGTCTGCAGTGTTCACGTGCCCGCGAGCCTGTGGGCAAAGGCTGTGTGTCAGAGAGCCAGACCCTCGTGTCCTGACGGACAGGAGAGGAACCTCGGGGAGCAGCCGAACAATGCCTGATGCCGCTGAGACTGTGCCCGTGGCCCTCTGCGTTTGCCGTGATTCCGAGGCTGCGGAGGGCGGAGCAGCAGCAGCACACAGCCCAGCCGCGGGTCAGGGCCGCGGGTCAGGCCAGGGGCACCGAGGAGAGGCGTGGCCCTCCTCCGGCGTTAGACACCTGAGCCCGTGACGTCATGTGCAAAGTCTGTGTTGGTTTGTTTCATGTGCCGCCTGCCTACCGCTCTCCAGTTCAGCCGACAGCCTCCTCAGACCTCTGCATTCCCCCGTCTGCCATCCGCCCAGGCTGCTCGGCTTGTCTTTTGTCAAAAATCTGATGACGAGATCGGTCTGCCCTGGGGATGGCGAGGGGAGGAATGCAGGCCCTGCTTCCCGTTTGCGGTCAGGAATTCTGCCCGTTGGACTTGAGGATGGCCCTGACCAGCGGGAAGGTGGTGCTGGATAGAGGGCAGGTTGGCGTCTGAGTGCCGCAGCCTCTGTCGGGGGCAGGGGCCCCTGGCTCCCGAGGCCTAGCCCTGCACCGCAGGTGGCTCCATTTTAATTACGCTCTAACCAATGTCACTAGAACTCCCTAACCCAGCACTGGGCTGGCCTCGGCCAGGTGGGTCAGGAGGCCAGCAGCAGGCCTGCCCACGTGCCTGATTCTGCCCCATGACCTATGGCACGTGGTTCCCTGCCTGACGCCAACCCGAGGCCTCAATCCTGGCACATCTCTCAGTGGCTGCTGGGGCGAGTGAGGGCTGCACAGCTGGCACAGGTGGAGGGGGAAGTGGCGATGCCACCACCTGTAGCTCCGTGGAAGCGTGCGCTCGCTGGAGGTGAGACCGCCTCTGGGCCTGAGCGAGGCGGCACTGCCGGTTCTAACCCCAGAACATGTGCACAACAGAAACTCCACGCTCTGTCAGGGATCACGTAATTCTTCAGAAATGACGTTTCCACAGAACTGGATCATCCCTTGCTGCCCAGTGGGACCCCACCCTAAGGTGCACACCCAGCTCAGCCCGCTGCCCGGGCGCCCGGTGCTGGCTGTGCACTCTGACTAACAGGCCTCCTGGCTTCTTGGGGCTTCAGATCTGCGGGAAGTGGGAACGCTGAGCCCCTGTCCAGAGGTGGCCCTGGAGCCGGATAGGGGCAGCTGGCCGTGGAGACGAGAAGCTCCCGGATGCTCTGACATTCCTTGGGGCCCCATGACTCTGGTACCTAGGATTTGCTAGGTGAGCTGTGTGGGCTTCAAGCACACCTGCAAAGTTCCAGGGTAGCTTCCAGGCGGGAAACGGCTCATCTTGCCTCTTAGGCGCGCCCCCTACTCCCGCCTCACGCCCCCTGCAGTCCCAGGGCGCTGGGCGACGTGCTCCTGCCGAGCACCCATCTGCCGCCGCGCGCCTTTCTCCCTGCTGTTTTCGTCACTGCACTTGGGGCGTCGCAGAGCGCTGGCCCCAGGGGGCAGAGTCTTTGGTTACGGTGAACCTCACAAGACGGCCCGTGCCACATGCCCTCGTCTCCTTGGAGGGCTGTGTCAGCTTTCCACCCGCTGCAGAGCAGGCCGGGTGTGTACTGGCTACAGAAGTCACTGCAGCATCAATGTCACAGAAAAGACTGGAGAGCTGCTGCCGGCCGTTTGCAGTAACTAGGACATCGACGTGAGCTGGGAGAGCGGGCACCGTGGTGTTTGCCAGTCGAAATGTTTCTATTTCCCTCTGCCCACAGTGGCACCCCTGGGACTCGCATACTTGCCTGGGACGGTTTCATGGGATGCGGGAGGCCGCACTGTCCTTCCCCATGACATGGCCCCAGCCAGGCCAGTCTCGGCAGAGGCTCGGGCCACATGGCAGCAAAGCCAGCACGTCTGTCTTATGGCCGCAGAAGCAGCTGGAACAGCCCTTCTGCCGGGCTCTGGAGCTTAGCGAAAGTCCCAGAGGCAAACTCCTGGGCAGTGATGGCGTGTGCAGGGGCGAAGCCCGCTGCTCCCTGGAGTTGCTCATTTGCCCAACTCACCTTTAAAGCACTGCAAACAAAATCATAAATTCCTGTTAATATCAGACCTGTGGCTGATCTGATTATTAAAATTTTCTTTTTCATATAAAAATTCCAACAAGATGTCGGCTACCGCTTGTGGTTTGTAACCAGACACTCATGTCCCTGCTAGTGTAATCTATTCCAGGATGCTTTTCACTTTCGTCCACTTAAAAATGTTTAATTTTGGAAAGTCAGGTTTGCTACAAGTTCATTAATTCTTCATAAAATAAAGTGTGTCCAGTAAAACGTTAACATACAGTCTTAGTAAAATAATGTTTTCTTCTCCTTTTTTCAAAAATGATCTTGGAAAGTGAGAAAACCTGCCCGGCCCCTCTTTCCTTCCTCTAGCGCTGCCTCAGACAAGTCCAGGGGCTCGGAGGGGCCCATTCAGAGGAAGTTGTCGCCCACTGAAGGTGACACTCTGGTCCTGGGTTCCGTGGGTTACCAAGATTTCGTGGAACAATCGTGGTTTGAAAAAAGCTCCTCAGAAAGCCCAGTGATGGAGGCACCTGGGACTGTGCCTTGTGCCTCCTTAGGGATGTTTATTCACCATGAGCTGTAGGAGGAACTGACATAATATAATCTCTCAAAATCCAGCCTCCGGGCTCATTCATTTTCATTGCCAAGATCATTGAGCCAGAGTTCTTCTAGTAAAGTCACTGTTTGTTTTTTAGCTCATGTCAGGGCCGGCTGGGAAAAACAAAGCACACTCCCAGTGTTCCCGGGGCTGCGGGAGGGACGGGACCGTGCGCCGCAGGCCAGGATGAACACTTGCCAGGAGCCCTAACAGGAAGGAAGTGGCGTGGGTGGCTTAGCACCTCAGTCAGTCTCCCTGGAGCCTC